GAGTTCTTGCGCTTATTCTTCGATATCTTAATGGAGGGAACGGTTCGCTCAGCACCGGAACCGTTATCACTGGCGGTCGACTGATCCCTGGCATCGCTGGTCATCGCGTTATCGCCGCTGGAGTTGTGGTGACTGTCGTCGCGAGCGGTGCTGTCGTCGCTGTCTTGAGCGCCGCCGACGGGAATGTAATCCATGTCCACATCTGACGCCTCTTCAGGCCATAACTGTTTACTCTTGTAGTCAAACAAAATCCTCTGCTCTTCGGATCCCTTCCGCCGATTATTACTGTTATTATTATTACAACTTTTGGCGTCAATTATATCCATAATTAAAACACATTTCCATTCAAATCGTGATTCAAATCAAAAAGTTTCACATAATTTGAGCGCAAAATTAAAGTCAAACGTAATGTCAGAGAAAAAGCAAAACAAATCATTAAATGTTTATTTGTTTTGAGATTTAATTAAAAAACAAAACCAAACGTTGGCTTCAATTGAATGCAGCGTTTGTTTTGAAAGTGTTTTTCACACAAAAAGAGTAATCAAATCAATAAAACAATTAATTTTTGGGCACAAAAGTCGCGTCAAAAACCAAAACAACAAATAATAATAACAATAATGTTTTGCTTTCAAAACTAATGAATAGTTTTGTTGAAAACTCTCAATAGTATTGATCTTTGGGCTGAAGAGTAGCACTGGTTTAGGCTATGGTCTGAAGGGTTGGATCAGTTGTTGTCTCGACAGTCAAATGGATGGCAAATGATGTGCGAAAACGTCAAACACTGACCACAACTACAGCACTGCAGACAAGCCTTCAATTGGAGTCAATTGGAGTGAATGCAGGCATCGATTGACTCAAGTGTTGGACAAACGGAGAAATCGGTGTATATTTTGGTCTCCATTTGTGTCTAATGTTTAGCCAATATTGAGGTCATTCACAGTCACTAAACACTACTTCAAACACTATCACAAACACTACAAACACTACACTCACAGGTCATTCAATTCTACCGTGATGTGTACGTGATGTGGATGTGGAAGTGTGTAGTTCACTGCGGTTAACACACCCAAAACTGAGCGTTTATCACAATGCTTATTTCACATACAAACACAGGGAAAACTATCAAACTGTATAGATAATCGATTGTAATATAAATAATTCTTTACTTGTATGGTTTTGTACAATGTACATGGTATATTTTATTTGACCAAAAATTCTAGAGCCAATGTTTACGGCTAATGTAAAATATGACATTGGTCAATAATATCAGTCCAAATGGCTCTTGAATTTGTAATTACATAAAATGCACCTTGTAACTAACTGTAACATCAATAATACACTTAACTGTATTGGAAAATATTTCATAATACAGTATTGATTTGATTTAATTTAATATTTAAATGTATTTCATCATTTTTTACTTATAATTACTAAATTATAGTTAGTTTATTAATTGTATTTAATTTGTGTCACAAATGGTTTATATGTTTCACGAAGTAGTCGTTTGATTAATTTAATGATCGATCAAATTGTTGTCATAAATGATGAATGAATGCAATAAATAATACATAATATGTATTGCATTTAATTATAAAAGTCGAGGACATAGTGTATAAATATATGCAAATCTGGTTAGAAATTAAATGATATCACAATTAGAACTGGACCGGCAATTGGACCAAGAGCAGTCAAACAGTTTATACACAAAAGCAGATTGTATACAACAATTACATTTTATTTTTCAAATCATTTATTTTAAATAGTTTTAGTTTTAATTTTAAAAACATTTTAACGAACAATATATTTTATTAATTATTTTTTAATCTGTTAGTATTTGTCTGTTCTATATAAACGGTAATTTTGTCATTATATGAATTAAAATTAGAAAAGTAA